CTTGTCACACTCCCGGCACTCCCTGGGGGGTTTAGATCCCCCCGCCCAAACCCCCCACCCTCCCCTGTTTTTTCAAGTTGAGGCGCGGTCGCAGTTGCACCTTTAGGGAGGGGGGGTGGGGGGGCCCTCCCAAACCTGGCTCTGGGACTCTATATGTTGAGCCAGGGTGTGTTCATTCTGTTGTGTTATTTCTATGTTGGCTAGAGTGACTTCCCAATCAGAGGCAAACGAGTGTCAGCTGTCGTGGTTGTCTCTGATTGGGAGCCATATTTAAACTGTCTGTTTTTCTCTTTGTGTTTGTGTGTTCTTGTTCCGTGTTGGTCATTGTTACCGTGGACTTCACGAGTCGTTTCTTGTTTTTTTTATTGTTATTATTATCACTAAAGATAATAAAGTTAACATGTTTCGTTGATCCACGCTGCGCCTTGGTCTATTCCGTACGACGATCGTGACAGTTTTTACCAAAAGTTATATTTTGGTTTCATCTGACCATATGACATTCTCCCAAATCCTCTTTCTGGATCATCCAAATACACTCTAGTCAAACTTCAGACGGGCCTGGACCATGTACTGGCTTAAGCAGGGGGACCGTCTGGCACTGCATGATTTGAGTCCCTGGCCAGCGTAGTGTGTTTCTGATGGTAGGCTTTGTTACTTTGGTCCCAGCTCTCTGCAGGTCATTCATAGGTCCCCCCGTGTGGTTCTGGGATTTTTGCTCACCGTTCTTGTGATATTTTTGACCCCACAGGGTGAGATCTTTGCGTGGAGCCCCCAATCGAGGGAGATTAATCAGTGGTATTGTATGTCTTCCATTTCCTAATAATTGCTCCCCACAGTTGATTTCTTCAAACCAAGCTGCTTACCTATTGCAGATTCAGTCTTCCCAGCCTGGTTGCAGGTCTACAATTTTGTTTCTGGTGTCCTTGACAGCTCTTTGGTCTTGGCCATATGGGGAGTTTTGGAGTGTGACTGTTTTGAGGTGTGTGGACAGTTGTCTTTTATACTGATAACAAGTTCAAACAGGTGCCATTAATACAGTAACGAGTGGAGGACAGAGGAGCCTCTTAAAGAAGAAGTTACAGGTCTGTGAGAGCCAGAAATATTGCTTGTTTGTAGGTGACCAAATACTTATTTTCCACCATCATTTGCAATAAATTCATAAAAAAATCCACAATGTGATTTTCTGGATTTGTTTTTCTCAATTTGTCTGTCATAGTTGACGTGTACCTATGATGAAAATTACAGGCCTCTCATCTTTTTAAGTGGGAGAACTTGCCACAATGGTGGTTGACTAAATACTTTTTTCCCCCACTGTATTTCATAAATTTCATGAAGTGCAGCGTATGGATGCTCCTTATTAATCATCAGACCAACAAATATGTTTAACATCATCCACATACGAGTCACAGTGTCACGGTTTCGGCCGAGACTGCTCCTCCTCCTGGTTCGGGCAGGCAAAGGCGTTCGCCGTCCCCGGAGTACTAGCTGCCATCGTTGGACCATTTCCATGTGCGATTGCTTTTGTCTGTCCTTAGCACCTGTGTCTGATTTGTGATTATTACGTGTCCTATAAGTTCCCTGTGTTTGTTTGGATTAGTTGTGTGTTGTTTGCTTCCTGCCATTGTGTCGGAGCTTTGTGTTTGCGCCCGTGTTGTTTCATGTATTAGTGTTTACGCGTGTGCGTATTTTTCCCTCGCCTCGTTGTCTGTTTTGAGGTCGGAGGTTTTCACTTGCCTTTTGGTGACTATTAAAGTCTGTTGGACTTTACCTCTGTGTCCTGCGCCTGACTCCTCCACCACATCCACATCGGTACCATTGACAGAACAACACAACCAATTATGGAGTCAGCAGGAACAGCGGCGGCACCCGAATCCCTGGAGGACCGGATCAATTACCAGGACACCATGATCCGGCAACTCGGGGCCGCCATGGACGAGGTGTCCAACACACTGCGCCGCTTGGTGTATCGGGAGGTGCCCACGCCTTCTCACACCATCCCAGCACCAACGGCCAGTCCTCCTCTCTCAGCACCGGAACCCAGTGGCATTCGGCTCTCGCTCCCGAGGGCATATGACGGTTCTGCAGGCCGGGTGTCAGGGCTTTCTCCTACAGGTAGAACTTTACCTTGCCACCATACACCCGGCGCCCTCGGGATACGAGAGCGTCTCCGCCCTCATCTCCTGTCTCTCCGGGAAGGCGTTGGAGTGGGCCAACGCCGAATGGAGGGGAATAGACGCCGCCACCATCACCTACGCGGAGTTTTTCCCGCCGCTTCAGGACTGTCTTCGACCATCCACCTGAGGGGAAAGCGGCGGGAGAGCGTCTATTCCACCTCCGACAGGGGAAGAGGAGCGCACAGGAGTTCGCACTGGAGTTCCGGACACCTCAGCGGATGCGGGATGGAGTGAGAGGGCCCTCATTGACCACTATCGGTGTAGCCTACGAGAGGACGTTCGTTGTGAGATGGCCTGCAGGGACACCAACCTGTCGTTCGACCAGCTGGTGGACATCTCCATCAGTCTCGACACCCTGCTGGCTACCCGCGGACGTCCCGAGTGGGGGTCGTCCATTCCATCCTCCAGCACCTCCGAGCCTACTCCTATGGAGCTCGGGGGTGCTGGCGCTAGAGAGAGGAGGAGGAGGGAGAACCCGAGGATAGCCAACTCCTGCACCAACTGTGGCCGTGGAGGACACACCGCGGCCAGGTGCTGGGGAAGGTTTTCTGAGAGAGGGGGACAACAGGTCACGCACTGGGGAGTCATTTCAGGTGAGAAGGCGCCCCACTTACCCAGAGCTCTCTGTTGGTCACATGAGTATTCCTGTGCGTTTTCCACAGGTGGCACCTCATTCCCAGCATAAGGCGCTAGTAGATTCAGGCGCAGCTGGGAACTTTATTGATCGGGCATTTTGTGCTAGGTTAGGAATTCCCCTTCGGCCGGTAGAAGTTCCATTCCCTGTCCATGCATTAGACAGCCGGCCGTTGGGGTCGGGTCTGATCAGGGATGTCACAGCACCGCTGACGATGACGACGCAGGGGGGTCATGAGGAAATCATTCAGTTCTATCTGATTGACTCTCCTGCGTACCCAGTGGTGTTGGGGCTTCCCTGGTTAAGTACCCACGATCCTACCATAGCGTGGCAACAGAGGGCTCTTATGGAGTGGTCTGCCCAGTGTGTAGGGAGATGTCTAGGTGTTTCCTTAGGGGCGACCTCGGTAGAGAGTCCGAACCAAGTGCCCGCACTGCGCATTCCCCCCGAGTATGAGGATTTAGCACTAGTATTTAGTAAATCGAGGGCAGCTAGGCTACCTCCTCATAGACAGGGGGACTGTGCGATAAATATCCAGAATGGAGCAGCTCTTCCCAGGAGTCATGTGTATCCCCTGTCTCAAGAGGAGACTGCGGCTATGGAGACTTACATAGCCGAGTCCTTGGCACAGGGATACATACGGCCCTCTACTTCTCCGGTCTCCCTCG